ATTAATCACAGCATACTAAAATCGTTAATACAAAGTGTTACTGTGAACCGTAACATTCTTCCCCTTCAGTAACGAAGGCAATTCGTTACTCTTAATCAGCTGCTTCCTCAGTTAGGTCTGAAATGCAGATTTTAGCAATCGGTCTTCTGTATGTGCCAAGCTGTGTTTTGACATCTGCAACACGTACATTGCCATCATTGCCGGGATATACTGCTTCGATGATCCCCATTAGCCAGTTATTTCTTGGTAAATCACTGTCTGCAATGACGACATCACCAACTTTGGCATTCTGCGTTTATCTGTACCACTTGGTTCTTCTTGTCAATGTAGGCAGATATTCCTTGACCCAACGTTTCCAAAATTGGTTCGCTATATACTCAGTTCGTCTCCATTGTTTCTTCGAGGTCAGATCAGTCTTGGTGAAGATACCTCAAATTGAAGAACCACTCGAAGAACCAATCAAGAAGTGGTTTGGAGTTAAAGCACCTTTGTCGGAAGAGTCTGAAGAGATATGGGTCAGTGGACGACTGTTGACGATATGTTCTGCCTGGATCAACGCTGTCAATAGAATCTCTTCCTTTGGTGATTGTTCTTTGAGAATAGATTTCATAGCAATTTTTACCGATATCACCAAACGTTCCCAACTGCCTCCCATATGGGGACTCAGTGGTGGAATATGCGTCCATGTGATGCCCTTCGAAGTCAACTCTGACGACACAATTTGGTCTTCACAGAGTTCTCTCATGGCATTCTTTATTTCTCGCTCAGCGCCTACCAAATTGGTGCCATTACCAGCGTAGATCTCTGCTGGACAACCCCTTCTTGCAAAAAATCGTCGAATCGCCATTATTGCGCTGTCTGTATTCAAAGAACTAGCCAATTCCAAATGAACCGCCCTAATTGTTAAGCATGTAAAAAAAACACCGTACCTTTTCTCATGACATCGACCAACAGTTACAGTAAGTGGACCAAAATAGTCCATACCTGTGCAAGTGAAAGGTCTAGCAAATGTTTTCATTCTACAAAGTGGTAGGGTGGCCATTACCGGAACAATAGGCTTCGTTCTTAGGTTCTTGCATCGCTGACAAGAGTTCCAGCAACTTCTAACAGCTTTCCTTAGATGAATGATCCAGTACTTCTGCCGAAGCTCATTTGCAACATAATCTTGTCCATGGTGACCAGCTTTGACATGATAATGCATGATCAACAGACGAGTGTAGTAGTTCTTTGAATCTAGGATGATTGGATATTTGGCGTCATACCCAATATCTTCACTCATCTCGGATCTACCTCTCACCCTGAGAATTCCATTTTCATCTAGGCAAGGTGTCGAATTATATAACCGACTAGATTGTTTTATCTGAATATTTTCTTTTATAACATTCAATTCATCCTGAAAGCATTGTGATTGAATTTGCCTCAGCCACAAGATTTCTGCCTTCGTCAATTCTTCTGGTGTCAGTTCCGACACTGTTTCATTTGAAGTTTCTTCCGATACATATTTCTTGAATTGCATTATTCTCAGAATCCATGCAGTCGATCTTATTAGTTTATACCAGGTTGAAAATCTTGAAATGTCAGGCAAGACTTTCGATAAAGTTTCATGGTTCTCAATCGTAACTGCTAAAATGTATTCTCTTTTCATTTCCAAAATTTCTTCTTCGGTGTCAATACCCAGTTCATTCTGAATCAACCAGTCTTCTTCATTTGTTTGCAGAAATTCTGGTCCGAAAAGCCAACGATAATTAGATTTCATGTCAAAATGACTAGTGTCTCTAGTGGCCTCGTTTGCAACATTGTCATTTGTAGAAATCCAATTCCAATTAGATACATCTGTAGTTTCTTCAATTTCACCCACTCTGTGAGCTACAAATGGCTGGTATTTCCTTAGGTCAGATTTCAACCATCTAAGAATAGTCCTTGAATCCGTCCAAAAATATATTTTATTTATCTTGATGGAATGCATATCAACTATTGTTTTAGAAAGTCTACTTCCTAAAAGTGCTGCTTGTAGTTCAAGTCGCGGAATGGACATTGGTTTTAATGGTGCAACTCTACATTTGGCCATGATGAAACTTGTTTTTATAGTATTGTCCACCTTCACACGCCAATAAGCTACTGTACAATAGGCTTGAGAGCTTGCATCACACAAAATGTGAAGTTGTATGTCATCAGATTTAGACATGTCAAGAATGTAACACCTGTCCACCATGAACTGCGTGCATTCCCTCATTTTTTCAATCCACCTCAACCATTTTCTGTTGATTTTGTCTTCCAACTCATCGTCCCAGCCTATGCCAGATCTCCAAATATCCTGCATCAAAATTCTTGCTTGCACAGTGTAGTTGGATAAAAACCCAAGTGGATCGAAAATACTCATCACCGTTTTCAAAACTTCTCTTTTTGTGCTTCTTCTTTTTCCTTCTAAAACTTCTTTGATATTATGTTCAAATTTCACATTGAAGATAAATTTGTCATTATTGGGATCCCAGAACATTCCAAGAACACGCTCAATTGGCAAACCGCCTTGCAGATCCATATCTTTCAATTTTCCAGCTCTCAGATCTGAAGGAATATTTGACGTAACTTCACGGGAGTTGCTCATCCAATTTCTTATCACGAAACTACCCTGGTATGACTTCTGCAATGATTTTCGAAGCACTTGGAATATCATCAGCACTATCCAAATAGTCGTCGACATAATGCTGTTTCATGATTGCTTTCACTGCTGTGGGAAATTCTTCTTGGAACTCCATGGCATTCTTCCTCATGATGAACTGAGATGAAACTGGTGAGGATGATGCTTCAAAAATCATGGCAATCATCTCATATTCTTGTACAGGACCATTGATATCCCTACCTCTAAATAAAAATCGTTGCGCTGCTCTATCTCCTTGGCGTATCTGTACTCTATGAAACATATCCATTATGTCTGCTGAAAATCCAATGTTACTTTGTCGGAACTTACATAATACGCTGGGAGGTGGATTCAAAAGATCTGAACCTTTCAATAAAACATAATTTAAACTAATGTTATCAACTTTGGCAGGTACGTCAAACACGAGTCTAAATTATCCTGGTTTTCTGGGATTGAAGACTGCGAAATGCGGTAAATACCATTTTCTTTTAGTTTCCACTATAATTTCTTCGGGTAATACCTTCTTTGCAAATCCTTTCTGTAAGTACTCTTTTATTTTTCTACAATATTCCTCGGCATATTCTTGCTCTCTGGCCATTTTCTTCTCGATAGTTTTCAGCCTACTGAAAGCATAATTCTTTGAATATGGTAAGTCCAAATTTTTGTTTTTCCATAGCAAGCCAACTTCCCTTATATTTTCATCATCTTTCACTCTTTCTGACGTTTCTTCTGAAATCTTAAGAGCTCTCATATTTCCTTCTGATTCCGGCTTCACTCTTTGAAACCGTACTCCTAGATTTTCAACCTTGAAAGACTGCTTTACTAGTTCATGCAACTCTTCATCTTGTCAAGTCATGTGGCAAACAAATTCTTCATCAATTCTTTCACGATATGATGCGTTGTTGCCGTGAACTACCCAACCTAATTTTGTTCGGGACAGAATAGGACCGTTCTTATTACTTTCAAAAATGTCTCTTGCTATGATCAAATCAATATTGTCTTGGCCAATTAACGAACTTGGCTTTGCATTTCTCATAAAAGAGATGTTTTTGATATGTGAATAATTCCAACAGTTTGTCAACTTTTTCATGTCAATTGACTGTACAGGCAAATCCAAATTCTGAGTAGTTTTTACATTTTGCATGAAGTACATTTCTGACTCTATTTCGCCCCGTATGCCGAATTCAACAATCTGTGAATATGGCTCTTCGTTTGTAGTTGAATTTGTCCATCGTAATCTCAGTTTTTCTGTAGTACCTGAAATTCCAATTTTTGAGGCAATTTTTTGGTCCAACAAAGTGACAGTGGACGCTTCGTCAAGAAGTGCATAGATTTGACATTCTCCTTTTGGACCCTTCAATATTACAGGTGCAATTCGTAGGAAAATCTCCTGATCGGTATTATTACTGTGATGATTGATCGATTCTACCATATTAACACACTCTGTATGATTCTCAGGGGATGGAGGAGTGGCAGGAAATAGACTGTGCAACAAACTATGATGATAGCGTTTGCAACCATCTTTATCACAAGTTTTTTTCTTCCTGCAGTACTTTACTGGATGTCGGGAACTTATACGTCAAAAACAGAGTTTGTTTTTTCTAACCCAATCTCATTTTCTGTCTATGTCTAAACTTTTGAAGAAATTGCATTTTTCAGTGTGGTGATTTTGTTTTTTGCAATATAAACAGTTTCCTGCTTCTTCATGTGTCTCTGAGGTTGCGCAAACATATTTATTTTTCTTATCACTAGTCTCTGTAGTAGTTATGGAACAAATGGTGTCACCTACTTCGTTAACCCATTCTGAGAAGTCTAAGACAATTCATTGGCAATTTGATAACTAAATCATTGGCCATGATGGATTGCATAGATAGGCATCCCCTTCCAAACTCTTCACATTTATCACCAGATTTTGTACTGCACTTGAAAAATCTAAGAGATATTCTAGTCTATCTTCTTTCAAATTTGGCATTTTCTTAACAGAAGCAATTATGTCTTGAATAATAATTTGTGGCTTACCAAATCTCCTTTTCAATGTGTCAATTATTTTGTCTACATCCAAGTTAAAATTTAACAAGGCTTGAACACTTTCTTTTGCTTTTCCACGTAGACATTTCTGTAGACGTACAATATTTTCCCTATGACTGAATCCGCATATGTTTGTTGTTTCCTCATATTGGGTTATGAAATGAAGCCATTCGACAGGATCTCCACTAAAACTCGGAAGCTCTTTATCAACAGACTGTCTTGCCAAAAGTTTTCCCAAATTATCGGAGCTTGTGCGATTCTCATTTTCCTCAATATTTGCTACATATTTATTAACTTTTTCCCCTTTTTTCACCTACCACTTTCAGAGATTTACCAGACCTATCACTAACCTCAGATACTATACATGCTGTTGGCCCGTCTGATTTGGTTGAACCATTAACATCGGCGTAGGTCGGTATATTGTTCACCCATTTCTGCACATCTATCTGTTGTCCATTATTCCCTCCGCTTTCTATCTCAACTGCAAACTCTTCTACATCGCCTGATGTCCCTGATGACGAATCTTCTAACCGTCGCTCTTCTTTAAACTCTGCTTTCTTCAGCTCCAACTCTTTCAGCACTAATCTTCTCTCCATTTCAACAAGCCGCCTTTCTGCATCTACTTCTGCTTGCAGTTGTTTTCTTCGAAAATCACCGTTCCTTGTCGCTTTAGATGATCTTGATATGGATTTCTTTGATTTCTTTATGCTACTGCCCTTTTCTTCTAGTGTTCTTTGAATTATTGCACTTGTAGCACCTTGACGTACCTCAGCTTGAACGGTTTCACTTCTTCTATGACTTAGAAGATACCCCACCGTATCTTTCTGGTGAAACACCTTTATTTCTTCTATCACTTCCTCGGATAGTTTCTGACATTTCCACGGACTATTCTTCAGTTATTCACGAAGGACCATATATTCAGACCAGAAATTGTCGTTACTTTGGCCTGAATTTGATTTATTTTCTTTCAAAGATCAATGACAAACCTTTCAGGAAATTATTTTATTTATTGTCGAACTAAAGTCAAAAATCAATCACAGCATACTAAAATCGTTAATACAAAGTGTTACTGTGAACCATAACAGTGATGTATTATGGTACAGTGGATATAAATTCATTTTCAGCCTAACCATTGAAATTTTTTGTTCTTTATCGCTTGGTGCGCATGAAGGCAAATTCCAATAATGTACGAAGAACATCGTGCGTACCTAAGAAGGATAGAGAGAGGAGGTAGGTGTTGAAATTTTATGAGGAATCTTCAGAAACAAGTCAATTTTCATTCTCGATCTGCAAAAATTATGAGAAAAAAATGCATATACAGGTTGATCCACGTTTGAGTTATGGGGTCCACGGCATTTTTTTGAAACAAAACACCCTATTTCAATCTCTGAAACTCTATCATGAAGAGCTGGATTCGATATCATTATATTATACATGGGAGGTTCGTATACATAGCGTCCTTGAGATTCAGTGCTATTTCCAAATGAGGTTGATGTCATTGAAGTTACTGGTGACAGGTTTCTGAATTCTCTCCAACAACAACAACTAATTTTCAACGAATTAATCCAGTTCCTCACGAAAGCACTTGATTTAACGGACGCACTGTATACGATTCCTGTATAAAAAATATTGTCGAATTCAGATTCCAATATGGAGATTCCAGAAATTGTACCTCATCGGCAAAAAAACCTGGCTGCAAAAAATTCAGCAAAATTGATCGCCCTGTAACTTTTTTTGAATTGACTCGGCCGTTACTTTCTCTCTGAAACTTTACTAAATCTAGTTAGACTCAGGTGAAATTCTGTCGAAATCGAAGATTTATTTCTCGAAATATCAGCCTGAGTATGAGTTCTTGGAAAAACTGATGGCTTGATCATTATACAGGAGAAGCAGAACACTTATACCCTGGATTTCTTGACGCTCTGTAGCGAAAGTGAGTTGTTGAAATCAGCTTCATCATGTTTTGGATTGGGGTGTAATCCCTTCTCTGCACCATGATTTTTTATCCACGTCAATATCTTTTTCCTAAGGAAAGATACGAGTTGTTCTGCAAAAGAATTCTCATTTAATTTTTCAATAACAAAACCTCTTTAGAAGCGCTTGATCATCCATACGCAACACGACAAAAATCTAGGAAATTATACAAATTAGACAAAGCTTAGATTTGAGAGCTCTCAATTGAAAGCATGTAGTTCCCAATGTATTTGCTAGGGATTCACATTGTAATTTGAATGATATATGTATGATGATCAAGTCTGACCCCTAAGAAAGTAATGCATTCAACCCTATCTATAGTTCGATCATTCATATTTATTTCTACAACAGGAACATTTTCATTTTGTCTGCTATGAAAAGTTGAGTTGAATTTGTTTTTGAAGCATAAAAATGAAGGGAGTTAAAGTGACTGAATACTATCATCAATTCTGTTTTGAATTTGAGTATCAGATTTGCTTGTGGATTATAATGTAGAATAATTTGCATGTAAACAGGTGAATGCATTTGAAAGGATCAGAGGCAACTCATTGACGTACAGTGTGAACAGAATGGGCCACAGTACTGATCCCTGAGGGACTCCAATCCCAACTGGGTGTTCACTAGAAATAATGATCGTTTTCTTATTATTCTCCACTTGACTTATTTTGATTTTCTGAGAACGTTCCTCGAGGTATGATAAAAACCATTCTTGAATTCGGCCACGGATACCATACATGTGGAGTTTTTCGAGTAAAATATCATGCAGAAAATCCCAACCGCGCTCTCGCCTGCCATCAGTGAATCTAGTATTTTTTCATAGGAGCTGAGAAGATTTTGAGAATTTCCTTTTTCCGAAATAGGTGAAACAAGAGCCGTTTCCATTCTGGTGGGGAATACACCGACCTGCAATGATAGATTTATGAGATATGTCAGCGGTTTCATAATTGAACTTGCGATCATTTTCAAAATGAACCCTGAAATGTCATCTGGGCCACAAGTATATTCATATTTCAATTTGTATTTTATAATATATAGCACTTCTCCCTCAGTTATATGAGCAATAAATATGCTATAGATTGCACTTCCATTTTTATTAGACTTTATTGAATCTGGATTATCTTTGGTAATATCTAGCTTTTTAATTTCGTTCATAGTTTCTTGTGGAGCATTGACAAAGAATTCATTGAACATTTCCGAAACTACTGTTGGGTAAGAAATTATATCATCTTCCTGCCTAATCACAATGTTTTTTCTATTCGATTCATATTTTGTTCTATCAACTCTTGAAATGAGATTCCAAGCCGTTTCGTTTATGTTAGATGATTTCAATAATTAATCAGGATAGTATTTAGACTTCGTGGTACGGATCAGTATGTTGTGTTTTTTTCTAGAACGTTTATATTCTTATTTCAAGTAAGGAAATTCCTTCTGAAGAAAAAATAAATATTTCAAGTTCCTACTCGATCCTTTATTAGAATTACCTACCCATTTATTATTATTTGACTCTGAGAATGATGAACATTTCATTGGGCAAGACTGGTTCATGTGTAGAATTAATACATCATGAAAGCAGTTGAACTTTTCATCGAAATACGTGGCAGCATACATTTTTGTTCCCAGTTTTTATTATCAAGACACGCCTCCAGGCAGGGACCTCTTTTGAAGGTAATTTCTTTTTGATACTTAGACTTCATTCACCCCAGTACAAAATGGAACCGTGCGATGATCAGATATATCATTGTCACAAACACTCCACTCTGCGACATTAGGTAGGTTGGTATATATTCGATTTAGTATTGATGCAGTGTTGGCATTTGTACGGGTTGGCATAAGATTGTGAGATGTGAGAAATTGTAAAGAGTTTTTCTTTGTTCAATCAACGATCATACGCATGTCTCTTACAAAAACTGCATAGTTCAAAACCAAATCCAGGAAAAAATTCATATCATCTCATCGGTATCAGATGTCAATACTTCAAAAGTCTCATGATCTCCTCGATCAATAATGACAATACTATCACAGTACACGAAAAAAGTGCTCAAATGGGAAATATTTGGAAATCAATTTGCGTAACTCTTTTGAAATATCTACCATCCACGATTCAGACAGTAATGAAAATGAAAAACTCAGTAGTTTGCGGAAAGCATCCGATCAAGTACTGAGAAAAGAAAATTTCTTGTCTCTAGATGATGATGGTGGAAGAAATTATTTTCACTTGATTCCTCAACCAAGTTCCAAAACACCTCTGGTAGTTCAGACGCCCCAACATTTCGTGTTACAGAATAAGTTTCCAAATCAAAATTGTTCGAATTAAAATGAAGATTTCTCGAATCGAAATTTCTCTAGTCGGAATAAAAATTTTGCCACTCAAAATTTCTCAAATCAAAAGAAAAATTTTCCATATCAAAATTTCAAAAATCAAAATCGTAATTTTCCTAGTCAACTAAAACAAATTCAAGCACGACAAGTACCACATAGGTTCTCCTAACATTCAACTAGTCTTTGGAAAGCCAAATAATGCAAATGTTTGGAAAACAAAGAATCAGGAACCTCAAAATAAACCAACAACAATATATGTTATAAAATTGAATGTCATTCACGAAACAAATTATCAAATAAATAAACCTCGAAATGAAGATGCGAATATTTTTGAATCTATTACTGAGCCAACAGATCATTTGAATCTCATTGCTGATGACTACCAATATTCATTTGTAGAAACACACAATGATGCAATATAAATATAATTAACAGATTGTTGGAACATATATCGATGAAGCTCTTGAGAACCCAACTCAATTTTTTTCTGTTATTGCCTTCGGAACGAAGTCAACTCAGAGATATATGATATTGAAGATCGAAGAAATCTTCCATTCATTGAAGTTTCCATTTCGAATTCCAGACCATTGGAATAACTTATAGATTATAAACGCATTTCGTCACTATTGAATTCGCCACTTGCGAAGAAATATTTTTCGCAAAATGTTTTCAACAAGCCAACAGAAATGAGAACATACTGTGGACAACAATGTTTCAAATTTGAAGCACACATACTAGCATCCTCAGAATTTTGATCTGAAATGAAAAAAAAATCAACTTATTTCTGATCTTTACTCATTTTTTGACGGCTTATTGAGTTTCGAAAAAATCATGAATATGGGATTCAACTGGTATATTCAAGACGGATACTTGTGCGAAAGTTATATTGCAATTCAAGTTTCTCAATGTTTTCCATCTGAGTATCATTTTTATAAAATTATTTCATTTGGGAATGAGATATCAAGGACTGAACTTCCAATCAAATATTTCTCGATAAAATGTATTAAATATCTCAAAAAAATATCGATCATTTTATCCCTGAAAGTATATGGAGTATAGTGATTATTAAATTAATTATATAAAAGGCAAAAAAATATTGTTGCTCCTGCACTTTTCAGGAACCCACCTGACACCTCATCAATAATTAATGGGAAAGAAGACTCGGATGATATAATCCCATATTTCATCAGAGACTGTGAAAATGATGTGTCGACAGCCCATACAGGGGACAAAACTCCTATTTTTTCAGCGAAGTCATTCAACCATCATAAATACAAGATGATTATAAAAATAGTAGATACTT